TAGACCTCAACCAAAAGTGAGGTCAACATGCATATGTCTGCATATCATGTTATCGTTCGTATTCCTAAGTCGAAAGGGAGTTCCTACTCAATTTTATTTGATGACAATCGAGGTTGTTTAGATGTATCAAGTTTCTATGGTTGTTAATGAAGTGATTCATATGGTTTAGTTTTGGTTAAGAGTTTCATTTTGAAAAGTTATAGTGTAGTTATTTACGATGGGGTAGAAGGTTTTGTCCTTAAGTGAGCCAACAGGTAATTCAGGCAAAAGGCAGAAAGGTAAATGATAGCCTATAATTTGGGCAGACCTATCAAATGACTACAAACAAACTAACGGTATGTGCACCAACCCTAACTTATGTCAGACTTGTCAGCAGACATCATCTACACTACCATAAATGTTTTAGTTGAGGTTCATCAATTGGATAATTCAAGCGTTTATAGTTAGTTGACCATAACATTATCTAACTCTACAAAAGAGAAAATGACTCAAAGGAAAAAAACTTACGTTACTGCAGCAGGTTATTGATTTAAAGCAACCCTGCAAAATAAAGTTAGCACATCTTAATAACATGTGAAGTAAATATAAGGTGACATTTGGTAGGTTGTCTCGAGCTATCTTGCAAAATAGAGCCGGTATGCTTCATTTTAATGAAGAGAGGTAAATGTGTTTATTTTTATTATTATCATTTTTATTTAGCACAACTCGATCAAGATGTTATTGGCTTTTCGTCGTCTCGGGATTGTTGAGTACCCTGATTTGCTTAGTCCGGAGAGGCAAGCCTACTCCGACTGAAAGATTATTGTCAATAATCATGAGTTGCATTCTCTAAGAGATCTTCGTAGATCTATGTTGTAATGTTAAAGTTGTGTTCAGTGATCTTTGTTCATTTTTGTTTCGTTTAAGTTTCAGTGTTTTTTTGGATCTTAGGAGATTGAAAGCTTTAGGACGCTTAAGACATCTTACCTAATTAATTTTTGTGATTTTTATTTTATTTTTTATGTTGAAATAACCTGGTCAAGATTCCACAGTTCCCTCCTTTTGGTTTATGGTTTGATTAGTCACGAGTGAATGGAAGATACTTCGTTAGAAGCCATGAGTTGCCTCCTATGGAGTTTCTTCTCAAACCAGATTGTGTTCTATGGTTAAAGTCAAAGTTTTAATGATTTATACTGTGTGTTTTATGTTGCACCCTTTATGTTTATTATAAATTTTTCATTTTATCCCCTATTGTCTTTTAGGTGTATTTTAAGTTAACTGTGTTTTTATTCTCTTATGAGAGGTTAAACACGCCTTAACCAGAGTTATTGTTGTCAACTTTGAGTTCAGGTTAACCTAGGTTAGCCTGAATTAGTTAAAGTCGATTTGGGTTTGCTCAGGTTGGATTAAGATTGATTTGGGTTGGCCCAAGCCAAGCTGGGTTGACCAAAATTATTTTTAAGTTGATTTGGGCAAACCCATGTTAGGTCGGGTTGATCCAAGTTTGTTTCAAGTTGATTTGGGTTAACCCTATCGGATTAACCTAGGTTTGTTTTTAAGTTGATTTGGGTTAATCCTGATTAGGTCGAGTTGACCCATGTTTGTTTTTAGTTGAGTTGGGTTAACCCAGGTTGGATTTAAAATTGAACTGGGTTAACTCAGGTTAGTTCGGGTTGACCCATGTTGGATTTAAAATTAATTTGGGTTAACACAGGTTAGGTCGGGTTGACCCAAGTTAGATTTAAGTTGACTTAGGTTGAGTTAGATCTAAATTGAGTTATTACTTATTTTATTGTTCTTAAAATTCTTATAATTTATTCTTTCTTTATTTGTATACTATCTTAATTCATAAATAATATGATAACCATTTATAAATTTTCATCTTTAAATATCATTCTTTTTTTATAGTTATCATATTGGGATTTTTTTTATTTATTTCATATTTTTTAAATTTATGCGACGCACACACACACACTTTGCAGATATTCTTCATATCATATTTTCAAAATTAGATATGTCAAGTGTCCATGCTAAACCATGTATGTGTTTTCGAGTCCAAATTAATGCATCATAAGTGAGCATTAGCCTTTTTTTGTTGAAAACTTGATTCGAACTTGTATGTGTAAGTGCACATTAGTGTCATTAGTAATGACATGTATGGTTAACTTGTATCCACATCATAGTTGAAAGTGAGCGATAATGTTATTGGCAATGATGGGCAGCTAATTAAATCAATAAGAATTAATATTGATGTCAGTTGCTTCCATCAATCTTATAGATGTTCGAGCAATGAAGCTCAAGTCAGTAGTAGACATTTGTCAAGTGATTGTAATATAGCAACGGTAAAAAGCAGATCACAATACGATAATAATAGTTAAGTTATTTTGGCCACGATATTGGTTGCACAATGGTGGTTAGACAACGATGATTTTTGGCAGAATGTTGTTGGTGTCAATCATTGAGTAGAGCTCTCTCGAACTCGAATACCATATTCAGCTTCAAGCTTTCCCTTTTATGCAAAGAATGTGATCTATTTATATGTTTTGCGGCGATATTTGATAAATTTAACAAAAATTCTCAAAATTTTTCATTAGCTCGTATTTATTTCCTAAGTCATGAGTCATAGACAATATATTCAATATTTAAGTACTTTAATGATTTTAGAATTAATGAATTCTTTAGATTGTTGAAGAGAAATGTAGGGCAAATGATTACAACGTAAAAGCAATGCATGATATTTTGAATATGTTGGAGTTATTTGGATTGGTATGAAATAAATGGAGGGCTTTACTTTACTTTTTTTTTATCTAAATTCAATGAAAAATATGTATGTCAACAATGGTGTTGGTCGTTGCTCTTGGCGTAGATGTTGTGGACCAACAATGATAGGGGGGGGGGGGGGGGGGGGGGGGGGGGGGGGTTGTAGGCTGGAGATGATGACCAAGAACAGGTTGGCTGGCTGACAGGTGACTGCAGTGCCCGCAAGGGGTGATGATAGTTTGTAACTATGGCCGACCAACAACGTTTGGTTGGGGCCATGGATGGTAGCGGGGCGGTTAGCGACCAATGATCGATTGCGGCTTGTTGGGTGGTGGGAAGCGATTGTGGGTGGAGGCAAAGATTGCAAGAGAACGACGACCAACTCGAGAATTGTTAAATATATAGAGTATGTGACTTATTTATCTCACCTATCGTGTCTT